CTGAACTTTTTTTAAGTGTTTCTCAGTCATTTGAGTTTCCTCTATTGAGAGTTCTCTGTTTAGATCTGTACTCTACTTTTTAAATGGGTTAGTTGATTTTTGGGTAACCAGCTTCTCAAGCTCTTTATATATTTTGAATATTAGTATTCTATCAGATGTGCAATTGGTTAAAAAAATCTTTTTTTTTCAATTTCCATGCTGCTGCTTGTCTGAATGATGGTGTTCTTTGCCTTATAGAAAAATTTCAGTTTCAGAAGGACCCATTTATTAATTGTTGATCTTAGTGACTATGCTGTCATTATTATGTTCAGGAAGTCTTCTGTGCTAATGCATTTAGGGCTATTCTCTGCTTTCTCTTGTATTAACTTCACTGCATCTGGATTTCTGTTGAGGTACTTGGTCCATTTGATCCTGAGTTTTGTGCATGATGAAAGAAGTATGGACCTATTTTCATTCTTCTACATGCAGACATCCAGTTTGATTGGCATCACTTTTTGAAGAGGTTTTCTTTTTGGTGTCCATATGTGTTTGAATTTATGTCTGCGTTTTAAATTTGATTCTGTTGATCAACTTGTTTGCTTTTATGAAAATACCATGCAATTTTTATTACTGGAGCTCTGTAGTACAACTTGAAATCAGGATGGTGGTACCTCTGGAAGTTCTTTTATTCTTCAGTATTGTTTTAGCTATCCTGAATTTTTGTTGTTTTCATATGAAATTGAGAACTGTACTGTAAGGTCTGTAAAGAATTGTGTTGGAATTTTGATGGGAATTATATTAAATTTGTAGATTGCTTTTGGTAGGATGGGTATTATTTTAATCTTACAGATTCATGATCATGAAAGGTCTTTCCATCTTCTGATTTCTTCACTTATTTTCATCAAAGATTTGAAGTTGTATCATAAAATCATACAGGCCTTTCATTTGCTTACCCTGGGATACTTTATATTATCTATTTCCCTGATTTCTTTTTCAGTTCATTTGTCACTTGTATATAGGAGGGCCACCAATTTTTTAGTTGATTTGTATTCATCTACTTAGCTTAAGCATTTATCAGGTGTAGGAATTCGGTGGTAGTATTTTTGGGGTCAGTTATTTATACTATCATATCATCTTCAAATAATGATACTTTGACTGCTTCCTTTCAAATTTGTACCCAACTTGATCTTCTTCAGTTGTCTTTCTCCTCTAAGACTTAAGTAGTATATTGAATAGATATGAAGAGAACTTTATTTTGTTACTGATGATAGTGAAATTGCTTTGAATTTTGATCCACTTAAGTTGATTATGGCTATGGACTTGCTGAAAACTGCCTTTATTATATTTAGTTTGTCTCCAGGACTTTTATCATGAAGGGGTGTTGGATTCTGCCAAAGGCCTTTTTGGCATCTAATGAAATAATCATGTATTGTTTTGTCCTTTCATTTCATTTATATGGTGGAGTACAGTAATTGATTTTCACATATTGAACCATCCCTGAATCTCTAGCACAAAGCCTATTTTATCATGTTCTATGAATATTTTTAATGTGTTCTTGAGTTTGGTTTGTCAGTATTTTTTTTGAGAATTTGTACATCTATGTTTATAAGTGACATTGATCAGTAAATCTTTTTCTTGGGTATTTGTGTGGTTGGAACATCAGGGTAATTGTGCCTTCATAAAATAAACTGGGCAATGTTCCTTGTTTTTCTATTTTGTGGAACAATTTGAGAAGTATTGGTGCTAACTATTCTTTGAAATTCTGGTAGAAATATTTGCTGAAACTATCTGGCCCTCAGCTTTTTTTTGGTTGGATTTCCTTGTTGTCTGTTGTTATGTCTCCCTTTTGTATCTGATTTCTTTTTTTAAAAATTGAATATTCTCTCTTAATGTTTTAATTAGTTTGAATAAGAATTTGACTATCCTGTGGAGTTTTCTCGAAGAACCAACTCTGTTTCACTGACTTTTTGTTTTTATTTTGTTCGTTTCATGTCTGAGTTTGATTATGTCTTTCATCTATTCTTCTTGGGTATGATTACTTCTTTTTCTTCTAGAACTTTCAGATGTGCTGTTAAGTTGCTAATATGAGATATCTAAAATTTTGTTTTGCAGGTACTTAGTGCTTTGTACTTGTCTCTAAGAACTGCAGTCACTGTGTCCCATGCATTCAAGTATGCTGTGTATTTATTTTCATTGAATTCTACAAAGACTTTAATTTGTTTCTTATTCCTGTCTTGACTCAACTTTTATTCAGTAGAGTTTTTTTTCAGTTTCCACAAGTGTGTAAGTTTCCTGTTGTTTCTGTTGTTTATATTCAGCTCTAATCCATGGTGGTCTGATAGGATGCAAGAGATAATGCAATTTTCTTGTATCAGTTGAATCTTGCTCTGTGTCTGAGTATGTGATCAATTCTAGAGAAAGTCCATAAGAAAGAACATTCTTTTCTGTTTGAGTAAAATGTTCTGTCAATATCTGTTAGGTTCATTTGGTTTATAATATCTGTTAGATCCAGCACTTTTCTGTTTAGTTTTTGTCTGTATGACCTGTCCATTAGTGAAAATAGAGTAGTGAAGTCTTCCACTATCAGTTATGGTCAATTTGCTGTTTCAGTTGTAGTAATGTTTCTCTTACAGACCTGGATGCCCTTATTTTTTGGGGCATAAATATTAAGAATTGCAATGTCTCTTGATGGATTTTTCTTTGATAATCACATCATCTCATTCCCTATATCTTTTTACTGATTTTGGTTTGAAGCCTATTTTTATTACATAATAAAATGCCTAAACTAGCTTGTTTCCTAGGTCCATTTGCTTGGAATATTTTTTTCCAATTTTTTTTTAAACTGAGGTAATGTCTGTTCTTGATGTTGAGGTGTGTAGAGTGTAGCCTTCCTTGCCAGCCTTGTTCACTCTACAGAGGTGTATTTTTTAGGTACAGTAGAAATAGAGGTCCTGTTTTCATATCCATCTGTTAGTCTGTGCCTTTTTATTGGAGAATTGAGACCATTAACATTCAGAAATATCAATGACCAAAGATTGTTCATTCCTATTATTTTGTTGTTGGTGGTGGTAGGACATATTTGTGTGTGTATGTGTGTTCAACAACAAGGACTTACATTTAACCTTTAGGGAGCAACTAAAGGCAATAACAATAACCTCTATATATTGGGGAGTCTCCTGAAGAACACTGAAGGGCTTCTCATGCCTGGAATTTGGGTTTTTGATAAGTTGTTTTTAACTCTTGGAGGGAGCATTATCTGTCAGGTGAAAAAATCATTTAAACAGTATCTGTATAAAGAGAAATAACATGTATTATAAAGTTTTTTGGATTAGTAATTAATATGATATCTTATAATTTTTCAGATATCCTTACTCATATTTTAACTCACCTTGTTCCTATTGTATTTATTCACCCCCTCCCTAATTAGAGGTACCCTTTTTCCATTTCTCTAATCTGATCATTTGTGCCCTACTAGTCCATTGTCTATTTGTCTCCTACCCATCTACCCAGGCAGCAGTCCCCTTTTCTTTCCTGGTTTCTGTAGTAACTCCAGGATCCTCTGATAAAAAGTAACAAGCAATGTTTGTATTTCTATGTATGAGTGACCTCACTAAATATGATCTTTTCTAGTTCTATCCGTTTACCTGAAAACTTCATGAGTTCACTTTTCTTTACCACTGAAGAAGTGTGTTTGTATTCTATACTATGGTGTTCTGTAGTGTAATTGTATCACACTGTCATTATTCATTCATGGGCTGAAGACAATTTAGATTGTTTTCATTTCCTAGCAATTGTGAATATAGCATCTTTTAACATGACTGAGCAAATATCTGTGGCATAGGCTTTTGAGTGCCTTGGGCCAAGGGGTTATCACTAGCTGGGTCACATGGTAAATTTGGTTTTAGCTTTTTGAGAATCCTCCATATTTATTTTCATAGTAGTTGAATCAGTGTGAAATATTTTTTACATTAAAAAGAACTCTTCTTGCTCTTTTATCAATCTACTTCCCTACTTTACCTGCATTTCTTCTTTAATAATCCCCAGCATTTATCAATTTATTACCCATTTATATAAATTGTCATTTTAAGCATATAGTACTATAGAAAATATACATTTAATTTTTGAGTCAGCCTTTTAATTAATGTTCAACATAATTACCTGGAGATTCCTTTAGGTATTGTAACTATTTAGGTATCAATAGTTTTCTCTTTTAAAAAATTCTGGGGTTAATAACTGTGTAGATGCACATACTTTGTTTAACAATTTATCAATCATAGAGCATTTGAGTTGCTTCTATGTTTTGGCTACTATGAATAAAGCCACTCTAGCATTAGTTTTATTTTTGTGTAAACGTATTTTTATGTCAGTGGGGTAATTGCCCAGGAGTATAATTGCTAAATTATGTAGTAGATGCATATTTAGTTTTCAGAGACATTGAGTACTATTTTCCAGTGTGCCTATTCTAATCTACATTCCCAATCTGTATTAATGACCTAATTTATACAAATCTAGTTAATATGTGGTATCATTTAAAAAATCCCTTCTGATAGGCATGTTCTCATATTTTATATGGCTTTAATTTTGTATTTCCCTTATTACTAATGATATTGAACGTTTTGATGAGTTTCTTTGCTATCTGCATATAGTCTAAAATAAAGTCTCTCCTTGTGTATTTTCCCATTATTTTAATTAATTGTTTGTTTTATTCTGTAGGGCACTGTGGGTTCTTTATACATTCTCAATACAAAGTCTTTTGTTACATAAATGAATTTAAATATTTTTCTCAGTTGATGGCTTATCTTTTTGTCTTTGAAAGTTAGATTTGAAGGGCAAGTCTTTAATTTTGATGAGTGTCGTGTCATGTTTCCCTTTTATTTATTGTGTTTTCCTCTTATTTTATCATGCATGCAGTATTATGTGTTTTGATCAAACCCATTCCAGTTCTTCCCCCTCATCTCCCTCACTGCCTCACCATTTTTTCAGTTCCCAATTTCATGCTCCTCTTACTCTTTCTTTGTCAGCTGTTTTCAGTTAATGCTGCCTGAATGGGACTGAGAATAGAACCATCAACTGGAAAGCAGGTACAGTTTTTTAGGAGTTGTATCTCTGAAGAAAACTGGTTCCCTTTACTCATAGCCAACAGCTTTATGAAGTGGTAGGACTCCATGAGCTGCTCCCTTATTCATGCTGGGTAGTTTGATCTTGTATAGGTCTTGTACATGCTGTCATAGTCATTGAGAGTTCTTGCATTCAGTGGTCCATTGTGTCTAAGAACTCATTGCCTAGCATTAGATTCAGAAGATTTTATTTTTTTCTAAAAGTATCATGAGGTTATGTTTTACATTGAACTACCTGACACATTTGAATTACATACTATGCAACATGCAAGTTAAGTCTCTAGCATATCTTTTTATTCCATCATTATTTATTTAAGATGATGCCTCTTCACCATGATGACCCTGTTGTATCTTTGTCAAAGATGAGTTATACTTATTAGTTAGGCTCTATTTCAGAGTTTATAGTTTTTAAAATTATTTTATATGTTTATTTTTCTATCATTAATACAGTATTGGTTAGTGTGGATAGATTTCTCTTAAAACCAGTAAAATAGATTTATTCTATTTTTTCTTTCAAATTTGTTGTAATTACTTTTGGCTATTTTGCATTCTTACACAATGTTAGAACTATTATGTCTGTATCTACAAAAGCATTTCTTGGATTTTTATAGTAAATGTGAAAAAAAACCCCATCAGTTTACAGAGAATGACATCTTTGCTATAGTGACTCATTCAATACATGAACACAATACATATGATTTCTTTTTAACTCTCTTGATTTATTTTAGCAAATGAGTCAAAATGCATTTTCTTACATATATACTTAAATGAGTGTTTTTGAGCAGTTATGATATTGCTTCTTTCATTTTAGTGTTGATACACCTATTGAAAGTACACAAAATTAATTTTGTGTGCCTCTTTTATTTTGTGGTTTTGAAGAAACAGTTGTAAATGTTTCTAGAATATAAGTAAAAATTGATGTTCTGTCCTTAACTAGTTAACAGAATTCTCCAATGAGAAAATGTGGGCCCAGAAATTTATTTTTATATGAGTTTAAGGAGTTATGAGTTCAGGGTATGCAAAATGTTTCAGCAGTTAAGGATGTTTAGTGAAAAATTTGAGGACTTGAATTTGATACTCAGAACATACACAGTGACTCCCTTTGGCCACTGCTCCCTGCCTTCTTTCTTCCCAGAATTCTTCTAGTCTGGTAGCCCTGCCTATATTTTCTGTATGGCTATTGGTCAATCAGCATTTCTTTATCAACCAACAAGGGAAACATACATTCACAGCATAAAGAAGGACATTCCCCATCAGTGTGTTTATTTTCTAGAGTATAATTAAAATGGAGCAAGGCATTCAATTTAATTGAACAAATGTAACTTAGATCTCAGTCCTGCTGATTAACAGTATTATTGAGTTATTTTATATCTCTGCTCCTCTGCCTAGTTCTTTGATTTGCTGAGACATAGATATTGAACTCTCCAACAATAACTATGGTGATCAATGTTTCCTTTTGCTTCTATGCTTTTTGTTTCAGATATTTTGCTGGATTTTAAATATATTTTATTTATCAATTTTTATTTATCATTTTTTCAGTGATGGTGAGTCAACTCAGGATCCAGTATCTGCTGGTTAGCCCTCCACCATTGGCTGTTTTCTTAGCCTTTGCAATTATGTTTTCTGGCACATAAACATTTAATATGTTTCCTTAGGAAATCAACTCATATATTATCACATAATATTCTGTTCTATTTCTAGTAAGTGTTTTGTTCCAACTTCTACTTTCTATGATATTAGCAGCCATATATGTGTTCTTTTGTTAATACTTGACATGAGAAATTAGATCTAGAGAACTGAAACCTTGACTAGATTGCATTTGTTCCGATTGAGGAAACATTTCCTATAAAGAGGATTAAGGACAGCAGTTGGCGTCAGATGTCTTGCATGGTATTCCTAATGAATTCACCTTAAAATGTACAGATTAAAAGTGCTAGATGATTGAGAAATTTCACAACAGTCAGAAGGATGGGTGGATGAAGTTACTAAGTTGGGGCTGATTGAGTATTTGTGAACAACATTAGAAGAAAAGGAGCATGTGTACCTGAAAACAAAATCAGCGTGACTGAAGAAAATAGTAAATATCATCATAACAATGCCTAATGATACTCTGCTAAACTTACAAATTGGTGCCTAACCCGATAGTCATCAGGGAGGCTTCATCCAGCAACTGGTGGAAATAGATGCAGAGACCCACAGTCAAATAGTAGGCCAAGCTTGGGAAATTCTGCTGAAGAGAGGGAGGATGGATTGTAGGACCCCAAGAGGTCAAGGACATCACAAAGGAACCCATATAATAAACCAAACTGCGCTCACAAGAGATCATAGAGACTGAACTGACAACCAGGGAGCCTGCTGCCTGGGACTGACCTAGGCCTTCTGTTACAAATGTATAGCGTGATCTTCTTATGGGACTCCTAACAGTGGGAGCAGGATCTGTCTCTGACTCTTGTTCAGGCTTTTGCGACTATGTTACACATACTGCTTTGTCTCACTAACTTGGTATGTCATGTTTTGCTGATATCCATAGTAGGCCTGCTCCTTTCTGAATAGAAACAGTATGGATGGCTGGTAAGGCAGACTGCAGACAGGGAGGGAGGCATGGAAGGAGAGGAGGGATAGAAACCCCAGTCAGGATGTAAAATAAATAAATGAATGAAACAAAAAAATCAGGTAATAGCAAATATTGATACTTTGAGGATATTTTAAACTCTAGGCCTCAAGCAGATGCAGTATGAGAAAAGCAATGTGGTTGTTCTTTTTCAAAACTAGCCTATGAAAATGACTACAGGGTAATTCTTGTTGTACAGAGGAAACTCAGCCCATTTCTGAAGTTGGCAAAAGAGCAGAATTACAGTCACCTTTCCAATTTTTTTCCAGGAGCTTCTCACACGAACTGACATTTCCCCTGGCGGTGAGCTCTGCCATGTTCTTTCCTTGCTCATCACTCTGGGGTTCAATGTAACAAACTGTCACTGCTGCTGCTTCATCTTCCAGGACACCGCCCCCCCCCCCCCCCGCTTCTTTGAAAGTCTGAGTGGTGACAGATTTTCTGTCTAGCTTCCTATAGCCCCAGATTGTTTTAATTACTGCTTTTGTGTTTTCCTAGATGGTAAACTGTGAAAATGGCCTCTGGTTGTTTAAGTTAACTAGTTTTCATTTTTTTAATGAAACAAAACAAAGATATATGATTGGATAAAAAAATCTCAGTCCATATGACCTAGGGATCTATTGATTTGTTCATTTATTCAGTAGGGGGGAATTTATCTACTGTGCTCACCCCATTTTGAGCACAGAGATTTTAGTTAATTAATTAATTAATTAATTAATTAATTTTTAGTTTATGTTATTGACAGTGTCTGAAAGGAAGAGAAATATTTTTGTCCTTCACCGATCTATGCATTTTCTAATTTATACCCCTTTCCTGCAATGTATTATTTACACAGAAGCAAGAAAGGCGATACAAGAAGAGAAGGATACGTTCCTGAATGAGGACTCAACAATGAGGTGTGGGCCCACAATGCATATTGTGACATTTATGTTAAGCTCATAAGGAAGATCGTCCATCTAGTCTTAGTGTCCCTGCTTGTAACATGTGCAGCAACAAAGCCCTTTGACTTGTATACAGGTTTATATGTGTGGCAACTCATGACAGGATGCTTTGTCTATTGCAGTTCTTTAATTTGTGGAAGAGACTGCTAGGCTCCTTGTCTGCCATTCTTTGTCTTAATTGAAGTGGGAGTGTAAATCTAGTATAGTGCCTGTTCAGTGAAGCAGCTTTCTGAAGAGAAAGGATGCACTGGGATGATGGCATTAAGAAAATGGGAGGAGCCGGGCATTGGTGGCGCATGCCTTTAAACCTAGCACTCGGGAGGCAGAGGCAGGCAGATCTCTGTAAGTTCGAGGCCAGGCTGGACCGACAGCCTCCAAAACAGAGAAACCCTGTCTCATAAAACCAAAAAAAAAAAAAAAAAAGAAAAAGAAAATGGGAGGAAAGGAAAAAGTGAGAGGTTTGGGAAATAATTTAGTTTTTAAGGCTTCTAAATGACAAGAGTTATTGTCATAGACAATGGACTTTTCTCCCAGAAAAGGGGGACTTTTTAACTAGCAATGAGGTTAAGGTTCAGCCCAATGTTAGATTTGTTTCAGTAATACCTACCAAGCCATCACAAGCCACAATGCTGTGTTGGGATATGTTTTTCACTGATAATATGTTTTTTATTAAGAGATTACTCTTTTTCTGATTACTGTTCTCATCACATCATACATGTGTACTTAGACATATTTAAGCATTATTGATTCTCTAATTAATTATTGATTCTCTAATTAATTCTCATAATAAGACTGCATAGAAAATGCTACTGTTCATTTACACTGCAGTTGAGAAAACAAAGAGGCAAAGATAATAGTGGCAAGCTGATAGTGCCAGAGGCTGGTAAGTCTCAGAATAAACCCAAGTTTAGAAATTCTAGCCATCTTTTTTCCCATATGAAGATGGAGCTCTTTTTGTCTAGCTGCACATACCCTGCCACCTCTATACAGGCAATCTAAATATGTCATTGCTCATGAGCTATTTGGACTAACGATCACACTTTGTTAGAATGACATATTTGACAATGTGCTAAATAGCCTTCTGCTATGAATAGCCCTCTGAATGAGTTAGCTTGCAGGCTGGAAGGCTTGTTCTGGTTAAATCAGTTCTAATCTTTACTTCTTTTTCTTCTTCTGTAGCTCTGTGCTAACTTTGGAAGTTCCTGTTTCCATCCTGAGTTGCTACCTCCTTTTCTGCCTTGAAGCTTGGTTACTCTTCCATTAAACAGCTAACAGCAGCTTCAGCACCATGGACAGCGTATTTTAATGAAGTGGTAATAGGATGGAGAGTTAGACAGGTCTTGATTAAAATGGAGTACTCTGATTAAAGATTACAGTCGGTTCCTGTTTCTTCATGCAATTCTGATTTTCCTTCTGGATAGGAAGCTTCTTCCCAGTCATAGATGACTGCAGTGCAGTTTGTGTATGCTGCTCCTCCAAATAACTTTTAATTAGACATTTAAATTAGACTGGTGCTGGTTCACTGAATTCAGAATTTTTATATTTCTTCAATCCAATTATTATAGTTGTTTTAATTCACCAGTTCATAGCTGGATTGTCATTTATTTTACTATTGCTTATTATTACATTAAAACTATAATTCCTATATTTACTCACTAATAAGATAATTTATAAATTAAGAAATATATAAATAATCATATTCAAAACAAATAAAATAAAGGAAAACTGGCTAAGGCACCAACTGCATAATCAGAAGTTAGGTGTTCTCTAGTCTGATGAGGATAAATGATTTTAAAAAATTGAAATTTAAAGGTAAGTACACAGGAAAGCCTCAGGATTTCCTTTGTCCTTTAGGCAGGGAAAGAGGAAGTAGGCCCTGTCCTGATGAGAGGAGCAATTTTATGGACTCACTCCAAAGTCTCCACTGGCCAGAAATCTGTTTCTGTTGCAGACTGGGTGAGTCTTCCCAGGAAAAGGGAGACAGGTTTTGAGGAGAAGTGAAGGGTTAAGCAGATGGAAGAACATTTCCTAAATGTTATATAGTGCAGGCATAGTTCTGGGTACTTTTCCCATTCAATACTCTAAAACTGTTATAAAGTATTATTGTTTTTGTCTCCACTTATAGAGGAGAAACAAAGCAAAGAGAAGCTAAGAAACTTATCCAAGATCACACAGATATAGACATGAAAGGAAAGCAAGATTTTAATCCAACCTCTCTGTCTCCTGAACTTTCACTTTCTAATCTCCTCCCCCCTCCCAACTGTCACACAATGTGGTAAGTTGGGAAAAGTAGCAAGCTGGCCTGAGATGTCAAGTCAAGTCATTACAAATGGTTGCAGCTCTTGGATAATATTGTAGCCATTGTTAGTATTCAATATGAACATGTTATCATGCTGAGCTTAACAACAAAGACAAAATGTTACAGTGAAGAGAAACCAAGGAATTGGCATGTGCCTTTGAGGAGATGGACAAGTGTAACTGAAGGCAAGAACCAAGGGTTGGAACCAACATTCTCCTTTCATGAACTCGAATGAGAAGACAACTCATTCACACACAACTGCCCAATTCCATGACAGGGCACTTTTATATTCTTTACTCCTAAATGCCAATTTTGTGACACATGATGTAAAAGGCATAAGGAGTAAACCTTGAAGCAGCCTGTCACCTGTGAGTTCAGACACTCCACTCAATCTGGTATACCCTGACCTTGATTGTAGGTGCATAGGATTAGGAATTAGGAGTTGGAGGGATCAAAGAGACCAACTATGAGGATTCAATAGAGCAAAAGAATTTTTCCTTTATGCTCCAGCATCCCAACAGTGTCTCTAACTTGAGATGTTATTGTCCATCTTCTTTGCATTAGCTAGACCCCAGATAATGGGCAAAAGTATCTCAATAGGAATATGCAATAGTCAACATAGATACACAGAAAACAGGTGCACCAAAGCATACTTGGTTCTTTATGATACTTCAAGCTCTGCTTCAAAGTATCCAACTTTTAAGAGCTAACAAAATGTTTGTCTATAATCTCTGTAGAATGTAGGACTGGTGCCTGAAGGTCATATGTAAGGGCAAATGGCATGTATCTGCTAGTAACAGTTACCAAGTTCTTTTTTTTTTAAAGCAGACTTTTTAAAAAATTTTAATAATAAACAAGCTTGTTCCACATGTCAATCCCAGCTCCCTCTCCCTCCTCTCCTCCCCTTCCCCCCACCGACCTCCTATCCTACCCCCCCCTTTTTGCTCCCCAGGGAGGGTGAAGGTTTCCATAGGGGACCTTCAAATTTTGTCATATCATTTGGAGCAGGCTCCATGTGTCTTGGTTGAGAGAGTATCCTCTATGTGCAATGGGCTCCCAAAGTCTATTTGTACACCAGGGACAAACACTTATCTACTACCAGAAACCTCATAGATTGCCCAGGCCTCTTAACTGACACCCACATTCAAGGGGTCTGAATCAGCCCCATGCTGGTTTCTCAGCTATCCAGGTCAGCTGTGGGTTTCTCCAGCCTGGTCTTGACCCCTTTGCTCATCACTTCTCCCTCTCTGCACCTTGATTCCAGGAGTTTGGCTTAGTATTTAGCTGTGGGAATCTTACCAAGATCTTTTAACACTATTTTTAACATAGCATACAAAGTTTCAGGTATTACATCATTTTTGAATCAAGTGTGTTTTAATATATTCCATATTCCTTTCATCTCCCCCACTCCAAGCTACCCCTAATCACCAGTCTCTTTCCTTTTGTATTACCTCATGTATTCTTTGCCCAACATATCCTTCCTCAGCACCTATGATTTTACCTTCCCTTTATTTTATCCACATTTACATGTACACACACATACACACACATACATATATTCTAACCAATCACAAATGCTTTGAATCTCTAATATTTTTCTAACATATTCCCTGTTATTGAAAGTAGACAGAATCAGTGTCTAGTGTTTGTATTAAATAATACTAAGTCAATAATTCCGATATTGTCTCTAGTAGTGATTTAATTGTGGAAACAGACATGGTCACTCAGCAGTCATTTGGGGGTAGTGTTATAAATTTCATACAAGGAAAAGCAAGTCCCTGCCTTTCAGAGTTCCTCCTATATCCTCACATTGCACAGGTATTTGTGACAATAATCACCTGGCTTTATTCATACTAAAGCCCATCAATAAGACTTTGAAAGCCATGGAGATATTTAAATTTCCTATGGTGTGAGATAAGGCTCTTTCTCATTACTCTAAGAATAGCCCAGTTTCCAAAGCCATTCAGAAATCTACAGAGGGAGAGTTGGCTAGCAGGGCTTGCAATAAACTCTTATTAACACTATCAAATATAATCTGTTTTTGTCTTGACCTCACTTTAGATTCTCAGCAGGTATAATGGACAGATTTGTAGAGTTTCTTTTTCCCTTTTAAAAGACTAGATAAATGTACCTTTTTCTCTCATCAGATTATAAATGTCCAATGTAAATGGAAAGTTCATTGCTTTCCTTGATAACAGACGTAATCTCCCCAATGGATGCCCCTCTGTCAGAAGACATACAAGATAGTCCTAGAGACTGTTTTTGGTTAGAATTGGTTCAGAATAAGCTTTATTTCCCAGTCTATGTACCTTAACCTCTCTCTGGTTAACACAATAAGGAAAAAATGTATCCACTTTCAACATAGAAAAAAAGCGTGCTCTCCCCTGGTTTCAGCTACACTTGGCTGTGTTGGCCCTCTACAGCTTGTTGTGATTGATCCCTGTGTGTAAGTTTTCCAATTAGATTGTGTTATCCTATTTCTTTAGGTAGGTGGACATTTGTGAAAAATGAGGGGAAGAATGAGAGACAACCAGGAACACTGCTAGCAGAGCAATGACTGCAATGATCAGCTCAGATTGAAAGTGTAAGGAAAATCGCATCAAAATAGAGGCCACTGGCTATAATTGGCAGTTTATACATTTCCATATTTGTTCATTTTTGTCAATTTAGGTTCTTTTCTTGAACACCTGGGAAAAGCAAAGTACACACAGCAACACAAATTTTGACTCAAGTCAAACAGCTAAATCGTAGTAGCGGTGGCTTTGGAACAATTGGTTAATAGTTTATTCCTTTTCTAGGAGGGAAATCGGAACCTAAAAAGAAAGTATGGTTTCAAACTGTAGCTCCAGAGCCTTTGTTCCAGCTGTGCTCCTTCTTGGCTATTTGTGTTGGGAAAACTAAGACAAATTATGCTTCCATCTGTGAAATACTAATAATAATGTCTTTGGTTCAAGATGTGGTAATTTACATTAAATAATTTCATTTTATTTTAGCAGTGACTAAATAATGTTGTCTAGTTTGTCTGTTGTTGACCTTTATAATAAAATCACATTTTGAAACAGAAGTTAAAGTGTCTATGTTTTATTTAAGAGTAGGGGCTACCAAACATGGGTGCATTGTTTTAATTTCATAGTATCCCTTTTATTCTTTTTATGTTTTTTCATTGAAAACAGATTTTTTCTCATACTATACATCTAAACCACAGTTTCTCCTCCCCCCACTCTTCATAGCCACTCCCCACTCCCCTTTCTCTCAGATCTAATCCCCTCAGTTTCCTCTTCAGAAAAGAGCAGATCTATAAGAGATGATAGTCAGATAGGGCGAAATAAGATATATTTAGACAAGGCAAAAATCCTCATGTAAAGGCTAGACAAGACAACCCAATTGAAGGAAAGAGTCTCAATAGTAGACAAAAAGCAAGACAAACACCTTCTCCTAACCTCTTTTAGGAGTTCCACAAAAACAGCAAGATAACAGGCATAATACATACACAGGGGACCTGGTGCAGACCCATTCAGGCCTCAAGCTTGCTGTTTCAGTCTCTGTGGGCCTATGTGAGCCTACTTCATTTAATTAGTGGGTCTTGTTCTCCTCATGTCCTCTATTTCCTCTGACTCCTACAGTCTTTTCTCCTCCTTTTCCATGGGGTTTCCTATCTCAAAGGGGAGGGACCTGGTGGAGAGTTGCTTTTCACCTATCTAGGGATGTGTATATCTTAGGTTTAGTATTTTTATATTTTCTGATGACAAAGAAGGATGAAATATTTACTCTAGTTTGAGAGATTTTCTGCTTTGAAAAATGGTAGGATATGCACTTTATGAACAAATTTAAGTTACTTGGACATATTACAGACAATTTGAAAGGGCATTAATTATCACTGGATATATCTATCATTGTTGTAAAAAATGCAATCAGTCATTTTAAACTACATAGTTTTGTTAAATCAGTTTCTGAAAGACTGAACAATCCCCAAAGGAGTTAATTGGTACTTTATTTAACACAGTACTCAAATGTGTGACAAGTATGTGAAGTA